CAGTCATGCACCCTTGGGCAAGTCACTCAACCTCCCCAAGTTTCCTCACCTGTAAAATGGATGATGAAGTGCAAGGAGTTAGGAGTCTTGGCCAAGAGCCAGCGGGGAGGAGGGGTTTGCCTCAGCTCCGCGGTCAAGCAGATCATAGCTGCCAGTCCCCAGCCTCGCTGCAAGAACCAAACGAGGTAGGTAATAACAGGTCAGGCTGCTGTGGAAACTGTCAAAAGGGGAGGGAAGGAGCGAGCAAACATTTATCGGGTGCCTACTGTCTACCTTTTATCTCCTTCAGTCCTCACATAAACCTTCTCAGGTAGACACTAATAGCCTAAATTTACAGAAGAGGTAACTGAGACGCAGAGAGGAAGGAATCAGCCCCAGGGTGGCCTCCTGCCTCCCTCCACTATTCCACACCACCTTCTGCAGGGGACTGGGATCCTCCTTTAGTTTTAGTTCTGCTCTTCCCGTTATCACTTTTGACTTGTGTAGTCATATTATTATCTAAATACAAGGTAAATTAAATTTATTTTATGGTTGCCACAAGCTAACCAATGTGGATAAGCCTGGAGGACATTGTGCTAAGTGAAATAAGCCAGTTACCAAAAGGACAAATGCTGTATGATTCCACTCCCATGAAATACCTAAAGCAGTCAAAACGATAGAAACAGAAAGTGGAAGGCCGGTTACCAAGGACTGGGGGAAAGAGAAGAGGGAATTAGTGTTCAATGGGTATAGAGTGTGCATGTAGTTAACACTGCTGAACTGTACACTTAGAAATTATTAAGATGATAAAAATCCATTACATAGCACTATGAAGTTGACAGTCCAGGATATTAGTGTGTACGATCTGTTTTTAACTAGGAAGTAAATGTGATATTCAACAAATTAACTAATTCTTTGATTTAATTTTTTTTTTGTTTATTTTCTTTGTTCATATACACACAATTGTATGTATATGTATAAACATGTGTGCACTCTTTTTTTCCTTTCCTTTTTTTTTCTGGAGCACCTCTTCCCCCCTACTCCCTCCTTCACTCACATCAGCCTCCCACCCTACCCCCAAGGTAACCCATGCTAATAACCTCATGCACACCCTTTCACATTTTTGGTGCTCATATAACTACACACACACATGTGCACTTACATAAATGGGAGACTGGTTTAGTTTATTCACATGTGAGATCAATATCCTATGTGTGCCCTTCTGCATCGTGCGTTTCCCTTTCCCCAGTACCTTGAGGAATCTGTTCTTGCCATCCGACATAGCTCCAATTTATAGATTGTAGTGGCTGCTGAATACTTTATAAAATGAGTGGACCCCTGTTTACTCAACTGTGCACTACTGATGGGCAGTCACTTTGTTTTCCATTTTTAGTCACATATAAACAACGGCATCTATGTCCTTTTATACTAGTCTATTATTTCTTTGAACTTATTCTTTTAATAATGAAGACCTTAAGTATTGGAAAATCATCTTTGCCATGTACTCACACATAATGAGGCCAGAAAAGAACCTGGGAGAATAAGAACCCTGGGGACAGAACAATGAATGAATGTTTTGGGGGGTTTTTACATTTCCATTTATGTTATCACACTATTTGTATGGCAGATAAAAGCTGGAAGGACCAGAACATATCTGTCTTATGTGTAACAATGCTATGATCATAGGGAAGACAGGGATGTTCGGGTCCCAGCAATGAGTTAACAGAGACCCAAATCTGAAATGGACTCTTCTAAATGGTCATCTTTGCTTTAACAGCCCTCAATCTGCTCAAAGTCCTTCCAGAGTCCTAGACAACTGAGGATGAGAGGACACAAGGCTACATCAGCCCATGCCATTGACCACACACTATCTGGAAGGTCCAATAAAGAGTTCCAGTTGCTCAGTGTCTCAGCTCTCACAGATCGGAATCTGTCCCTTCATGGCTCCAAAAGATACTTGCTTTCTCTTCCACAGCAGCTCATCAATACCAACCATGGTGGCTGCCTTGTACCAACATGACAAGAGGCACATGGAATCCAAAGAAACCTGCTCTCAAAAAATTTGTTTCTGAGGTTTTGTGGAGGCCAGAAAGAACAGAGGCTTCTACACCAAACCCATGGTTTGACTCCACAAACCTTTACTGCGTGTCCCTTATGGGCTGGGTGCTATCTAAGGGTTGTGGGGACAAGCAAAACAGAAAGCTTCATTCGTGTTTATGTTTCAGGGAGTCATCAGAAGGTCTTAAACAAGCTACAGTGGTGGGAAAGCAAACAAGAAATCTCTTATCTCAGACACAAGGAGGATGCTATGCCTTTTATAGCTCTCAGAAACAATGGACCCAAAGAAAACAAAACCTTACGAGCTTACCACTAATTTATTTACATCAGCAGATACGCTTTATAGGCTATCATTAATTCTCACTCTAGCCATTGTTTTAGCACTTTATGCAGTTATCTGAAACAATATTTCACAAACTTTGACACTAAGTCAAGCATAAAGAATCTGAGGGTGTGTTCAAAGTAGACAAGTTGCAAAGGAACATTCCAGAGTACTCAGTCTCCTCACCTCAGCACCAGGATCTTAGGTAGTGGCAAATGCGAGCTAAGAGCAAAATGCACTTATTAGACTTAACAGCAACACTATTGAGATGCCAAGAAACAATGTAACAATACCTTCCAAATGCTGAGGGAACATTATTTCCAGACTAGAATTCCATACCCAGCCAAACTATCAGTCAAGAGTGAGGGTAGTGAGGGTAGATTAACCATATTTTCAGACATAAAAGGTCTATGAATCCTTTCTCAGAAAGTAGTAGAGAATGTGATTCACTAAAATGAAGGGGGAAAAGAAAAAAAAAAAAAGGAAGACATGGGATCCAGGAAACAAGGGATGCAACATGGAAAAAAGGGATTCCCAAGATGATGGTGAAGGGAAATTCCAGGGTGACAGCAGACCTAGAGAGCATCCAGACAGACCGAAGCAGGATAACAGAGGGCTCCAAGAGGAACCTCTTTGAAATGATGAAATTGATGGAATAGGCATTGCTCAACATATGAAGAGGAGATTTATACTTCTAGCCATGAATGAGAGGATAAGTTAGTGATAGGTACATAGAAAACCTAAACAAATTGAAAAAGAGATATTTATTCCAAGGAAATTTAGTATAGTATAAAATATTATTTGACTATGAGTAACATTTAAATAGTCACAATAATGTAAACATTAAACATTTTTCTAATGAAAATATAAATATACTGAGAAGATGGGAAAAAAGAAAGTGAGGAAGAAGTGGGACAGGGCAAGTTCCCACTAAGTAAGTTCCCATCCACAGCAGAAAGCCAAGCATTAAACACTAAAACTTAAAAAAATCAAGAAATGGTAGTATAAGCCTGTTGTTTAAAAATAAGGAGGCATCCCAGCCTGAGTGGCTCCATTGGCTAAGCACTGTCCTGTGCACTGAATGGTTGTGGGTTCAGTTCCTGGTCAGGGCACATACCTTGGTTGCAGATTTGATCCCTGGTTGAAGCACTTACAGAAAGCAACCAATCAATGTTTCTCTCTCACATTAATGTTTCTCTCCCTCTCTCTCCCTTCCTCTCTGTAAGCATGTCCTCAGGTGAGGATTAAAAATTAAGATAATAAAATAATATGAGGCAAATGCCAAAAGTAACAACTAAGAAAGTGGGAGGTGGGAATGGAGGTATATCACATGAACTGGGATGGCTCTTTTTTCCCCCCCTTTTTTGGGAAACGGCTCTTTTTTATAAAAGGTTTTATTATGTTATACATAAGTAACTTTGATTTTTTTAATTAAAAATTTTAAAATATGGAAGACATCTACAGCCAGTGAGAGTCATGGGACATTGCAATTAGTCAGGTATGGTTGACTCATGGGTACAGGGCAGGGAAGGGTGGGACGGAACCCAAACAGGTAGAGACAGAAAGGCCAAGCATCAAAGGGGAAAGGGAACATCACGAGTGTTCCCTAAGCAGAGGAATCCTGATAACATCCTTGTTTTTTATCTTGATCACATTCTTATTAGGAAGGTCATGGAGCAGAAATAGGAGTGGGAGAGATAGACAGCAAGGGGCCCTGGTGAGTAGGCTGTGGCCAGTTCTAGGGAGAGGGGAAGCAGGTCTGAATGTGGCGGTGGTTTAGGGATGAAGAGGAGAGCATGGGTGACAGATATTTCCTAGGGGGCTCGTCAGCACAAAATTTATGGGCTGAAGGGAATGGGGGAAAAGAAGGAGTTGATAGGGAGGAGCAGGTTGGGAGAAGAAAGGCTCTAACTATGGGCACCATCCCCAAGGCAGAAGGCTCACCCTGCTACCATCCAACAGAAGAATCATTGTGTGCAAATGGGAGGAGCCAGGGGGTAGAGCTTTGGCATTAAAATACCTAATATGATAGGGTGGTATAAAAGAAAGGCATGGACATTTTAGCCAGATAGCCCTGGGTGTAAACCACAATCGTGCCATTTATTATCTGTGTGACTTTATGCAAGTTACTTAACCTCTCTGAATCCTAGGGTTGCCTCTATTCCAAAATGGGGCTGACCACACCCAGTTCACAGAGTTGCTAGAAGTGTCTAAAGAAAGAACCTCTGTCAAATATTTCACATGATGTCTGTCAACATGTGTGAGCTCCCTCTCATCCTGTATCTCACCTCCCACTCCCACGACAGCATGGAGGTCTTCAGGGAAGACCCTTCAAACTCTTCTGAGCTTTGCTCTTTCCCGCATCCCTCAGACTGTGAGGTCCCAGAAGGTTCCTGAGAGGCAACTTCAACTCCCCTCTCATCAGTTCAAGAACAGAGACCACACAGGTTTGCATCAACCAGAAAGTCAGCTTTATTAGCCCATCACCAATGGAGAGGAAGGGGAGACAGCTGGGACCTGCGCTGGGAGAACAGGAACCTGACCCAGGCCTTCAGGAGGTGAGGCCGGCAGGTGGGCAGGAAGCTCTAGGAGAGGCAGCTCAGTGTTTGGAGCTCTGGCCCTGGCTGAAGCTCAATGAACCCTACTCCTTGAGGATGGACCGAGTCTGGCGGCCGGAGGAAGAGGAGGAGACTGTGGGAGAGAAGAGAAAAAGTGAGGACTCTGGGAGCTCAGCTGGTCCCACACAAGGAACAGGGAGGGCTGGAGGCTCTGGAGTGCCCGGGACCCTAAGGAGCCTTACCATCTCGGGAAGAATAGGACTGGCTGGACGTGTGCTGAGAGGAGGAGAGACTGTGGGGAGAAAAGGCAGAACAGTCAGAGGTGCTGGGAACAGCAGGGGGCTGAAGGGTCTATGGAGCAGGACTGGGGGACCGGTGGGGGTAGGCACTCACTGGGCATCCTCTCCCTCCAGCAGGCGGCGGTAGGTGGCGATCTCCTGCTCCAGCCTTGTCTTCACATCCAGAAGGATCTGGTACTCTTGGCTCTGCTGCTCCATCTCACAGCGCAGCTGAGCCAGCTGCTCCTCCACGCTGCCGATCAGCCCCTGGATCTGGGACAGCTGCATGCAGTAGCGGCCTTTGGTCTCCTCCAGGCTGCCCTCTAGGGATGCTTTCTGTTAGTGGAGAGAGAGAAAAAGAGAGTCATTGTAGGTGGTCACTGCTGTCCCTCCAGGTCTCTGGGCATGTTTTCTGTGAGGTTCATGGGTTTTGACCCCAGCTGGGCTACTGATGGGCCAGACAACATGGAGGAAAAGTATTCCACCATTCTGGGCCTTAATTTCTCCATCTGTATAATAGGTACAATGTTCCCCTCAGTCCCACTCTTGGGGAAACAGAGGTGGAACTGTATTGTGGCAGTGTTGAGGGGTTGGTGGCCATTACTGGTGACTTTGGAGCTGGGCTGTGCCAGGTTTTTCATACCATGCTGAGCTGGGACTGCAGTTCAATCTCCAGGCCCTGGAGCACTCTCCGGAGCTCGGTCACCTCACTGCGGTTACTCTGGACCAGTTGGCTGTTAGAGGCCACTTCTTTGTTCAGCTCATCAGTCTGAGACAGGAAAAAAGGGCAGAAGGTGTGAAGGGTGAAACAGTCCAGAGGCTCCCCTGGCCCAAAGGTCCTGCAGGAAGGCCAAGAACCCAAGCCCCACCTTGCTCAAGAACCAGGCCTCAGCATCTCTGCGGTTCTTCTCTGCCATCTGCTCATACTGGTCTCGCATCTCGTTCAGGATGCGGCTCAGGTCCACACCAGGGGCAGCGTCCATCTCCACGTTGACGTCCCCACCAGTCTGACCCCGCAGGGCAAGCATCTCCTAGGAAGGGATGGCAAGAAGTAGCTTAGCTGACCCCTTTCCTGACCCCAAGTGCATCTGCAACCCCATTGAACCAGCCTCCCATCAACAATGCCAGCAGCATCCTCACCTCCTCGTGGTTCTTTCTCAGGTAGGCCAGCTCCTCCTTCAGGCTCTCAATCTGCATCTCCAGGTCAGCTCTGGCCAGTGTCAGCTCATCCAGCACCCGGCGCAGGCCATTGATGTCGGCCTCCACGCTCTGGCGCAGGGCCAGCTCATGTTCATACCTGGCAGACAGAGGTCAGGGCATCAGGTTCCATCCATGAGGCTTCTGAGGCTCAAGGCCTGCTGGTCCTCCTGGATAGACAGCCCCACTCCTCACCCCCTGCCCTCTGCTCTCCACCCTCAGCCCTGCCACAGGGATGCTCACTTGGTCCTGAAGTCATCAGCTGCCAGCCTGGCATTGTCAATCTGCAGAATGGGCTGAGCATTCTCAATGGTGGCTGCGATGATCTGCAGAGGGGGTGAAGGATAGGAGCAGGGTTAACTAAGATCCTGCTGCTCAGAGGTGAAGTACACAGGGGAGAAAGGAGTCTCCCCACATTTAGGGGTTGCCTGGCTGGCAGGTCAGGCCCTATGCTCCTCTAGCCAGCCTGGGGTGCCTTTTTCACCCAGCTCAGGGTGTGTAGGGGATGCACCCCACCTCTCCCACCACCCCAAGGTTGAGAGAAGCTGAGGGTGCAGTGCAAAGAAGTCTCACAGGGAATAAGAGTCAAGGTTCCAGGCCTGCCTCAGACACCTAGATGCTGAAAAAGGACCCTCTGCCACCAAATCTCTGAGTGGCCCTTGGCCACTCCCCCAAGGCCAGCCTCAGTCTCCCTGTTTGTAAAATAGAGATGCTAGTAAGTGGTTTTCTAAGGGCCGCTGCAGCCATGACCCCTCTCAATGCTCCACCCACCAGAGCCACCCACCAGGCCCACACACCTTGTTCCTCAGGTCCTCAATGGTCCTGAAGTAGGGGCTGTAGTCCTTGACCTCACTGGGCCGCTGCCTCTGGTACCAGTCACGGATCTTCACCTCCAGGTCAGTGTTGGCCTCCTCCAGGGCGCGCACCTTGTCCAGGTAGGAAGCCAGACGGTCATTGAGGTTCTGCATGGTGATCTTCTCATTGCCGGAGAGGAGGCCACCATCGCCACCACCAAAGCAAGCACCAAAGCCACCAGCAAAACCACCACCAAAGCCAGAACCAAGGCCACCACCATATCCTCCACCGAAACCACTTCCCAGGCCTCCACTGAAGCTGCTGCTGCTGAAGCCACCGCCATAGCCGCCTCCCAGCCCGCAGGCCCCCCCAGAGGAGTAGCGGGAGGAGGAGACCGACATGCCCCCAAAGGCGCTGGGGGCCCGGCAGGACCCTCCTGCCAGGACAGAGGACATGCGGCTGGAGCCACCACCGATGCCACAGGAGCCCTTCATGGAGCTGGAGGTGAACTGGCGGCTGCAGGTGGTCATGGTGCCAAAGAAGGAGGTGAGTGAGCGAGCGAGTCGGCAGAGAGAAGAGAAAGTTGCTCGGGAAGTCTGGGAGGATGCTAGGGCTGCCCCATGCCCAGGCACCTTTATATGCACCTGGGGAAGGTGGGGCCCTCCCAACTGCTGACTCCAGGCTCCCCTCCGGATTTCATCACTTCAGGTTCTGTCCAACTCCCCACTCCGATTACTCAGCCTGGGGTCGACTCACTTCGCTGTGCTGCTCGGAGTTACCACCCAGCTTTGGCGGGTGTGGGGCCAAGAGAAAACACACAAAAGCCAGTCGTGACTCAGGCTGGGCGGTAGGAATCTGCTCCCGTTGCTGGAGCCCAAGGGGACAGCAGGGCCTTGGCACAGGCGGCTTTGTGGCGCCTGCATCCCCAGGCAGTGAGTCAGCCCATAGAAAGACTCCCTGCCCCACGGTGACAGCCTCAGCGATGCCATCCCAGGGCCATCTCTGGATGCAGCCAGGAGGATTCTACATGCCTGGCTCTTGACCAGAGATCTGGGCTCATGGCCTCTCTCTGCTTTGCTCACTGTATGACCTGAGGTCCCTCACCTACCCTCTCTGGGCCTGTTTCCCCTCAGAAAAGTGACAAGGCTGGACTAGGTGATCTTGGAGTCCTTTCTAGTTCTAAAAATTCTATCACTCTTTCCTGGAGGCTGCCTTTGAGCCCACAGGACCCCCAGAAGTGGTGTGCACCATGGAACCAGCATGCCCTGTGGAGCTGGACAGGTGACAGCTTGAACCCTGGCTCTGCCCCTTACAAGCCTAGTGGCATAGGCAGTCCTTTAGCCCCTCTGGGCCTCAGTGTTTTTATCTGTAAAAAGGGAGAACACACCACCAGCCACAGAGGAACATGCATGAAGGACCCCTCTGGCCCCTTCCCAATGGCCAACTCTGACCCTCACCAGCCCCTCCAGGCCCCCCATCCTTTTTTTCCAGCACAGCTGCCCCTCACCTACCTCCTCAAGCCCACCTCTTCTGGCACCTCCCTCCCACACCCCTGCCCTCCCCTCTGGGCTCCCTCACTCCCACCCTTTGAGCAACCCACCCCCAATGCATCACTCCACCTAATCACCAGCACTACTATAAACAGGGATGGGAGGGAATACCTGTCCTTCCACTAGTGCCATGAGTGACCCCTGGCCCCACCATGGGCTTCTGAGTCCCCAGGGCTCAGTTCCTAACAGTTTTCTCTCAAGTGTCCACAGATTCCTGGCTGGGCTTGGCTACTTCACTCATTCAGTTGAGACAGGTGGGAAGGAGGCTCTCTGGCCATGTGCCATGCTCAGGTATTGTGTAGAGTGCCCTACATGTGCCACATGGTTCTGTGAGGGGCCTATTCCTACCACTAGTTTGAAGACAGGGAGCTAGAAGTGTAAGTGGCTTCCCAAGACCCTAGTCAATGGGGAACTGAGGTTTGAACCCCAGTCTGCCTGTTTGTCCAGCTCGAGCCCTTTCCACCATCCTGAACCACTCTCTCTCTGTGTCTCCAACATACATCATTGTCCTGAATTCATCCTATGAAGTAGAGGGAAAACCAGAGAGAACAGTGATTCCCCTAAAGTCACTAGTCCAGGACTTGGGCCATCTCCACTGTCCCATGGTGCCTTACAGGCAGGGTCTAGGCCTGTCCAGTCTCACCTGTCTCCCCAAGGTGCCTGGAAGGAGCTCTGCCCATAGCGGGCTTGACCTTGGGCCAAGGGATGGAGGCAGGATTGGGAGGGTCTGTTCTGAGGGGTGACCCACAGAGCTGGCCACTGTTCTTACTCGAAAGTGCCTCTGTCAAGGTGAGGAGCAGAAAGGGCCTGCCTCAGCCTGAGTCTGCTGGGCGATACCACTTTGAAATCCTCTGCCTCAGCATAACCAGGCTTTGTCACTGCCCATCATGCTCCGTCAGTCACTGGGCTTGTGGGCACAAGGCCCAAAGGTATTAGCAGAGCTGGTGCCCAGTACACACCTTTAGGACCAAGCCTGGGAGATTCTCCCCTCACTACAGCCCCCAAATGGGCAAAGGGGCCCTGGAATTTTGCACAAAAATCTTACCATCTCACTTGTCAGGATGGGCCTGGAGTTCAGGCCCAACTGCAGACTCACCACCTTCAGAACTGAAAATAACCTTTGAGGTCACCAAAGTCCACCAAGCTCCCACCAACGAGGGTGAAAGACTTTTCCCAGGTTACACAGCATAGAGGCAAAGCAGACTCGAACCCAGCTCTGGGAGCTTTCCTTCTCTGTCCCCAGCACAGCCTCTGCCTCCTTTCTAATTGGATCGCTGCCCCTCCTCCATTCCTGGAGGTGGGGAGAGGGGGGCTGCCCACAGGCCCAGCACTGAAGGTCCAGGGAGCTGCCTGGGCTGAAAAGCTTCGGGAAGGAAGTTGCTGACCAACCCAACAAACCACTCAGTCAACACAGCAGACCCAGCACCCTCTACATGCCCAGGATTGGGTGCGTAGGCGGTGGGGGAGGTGTGACATATTCTCTGACCTTGGAACCTGTCATGTGACCTGGAGAGAGCACTAAGGCGGGAATACAGCACCGAGCGTAGGAAACACTGGGGTGCTCCGCCCTCAGGATGCAGCTGGACAGGTCACTACCTCTGAGCCCAGCAGTGAAGGAGGGCTACCTCTGAGGTTTTCATCAGAAGATGGTAGAACCAGGGGTGGCTCCAGCTGGGCCTCAGAAGATCTGAGTTGGCAGGGAAGGAGTGGGGAGCATTTCTTGCATTACACCTGTCCCAAGGTTGCCAAATGCCAGAATCCCCAAGCCGGATGGGCACAGAGCAGCTCTAGGCAGTGGGTTCACCTTGTTCCTCTGTCCTCGGGCCATCCCATCTCAGGTGTGAGGTCATCTCGTTCCAGAGTTGGCCGGGCAGGAAATATTATTGGCCAATGCCACGCCTCAATTTGCCGGATTCCCAAACCTGACTGATCACCAGCACCCCATTCAGATCCCCGGGCCCTGCTCCGGCCCACTGCATCAGCATTGTGGGACAAGGCTGATCCTGGGGACGGTTTTCTTTCTGGTAACCAGCCAGGCCTGGGGGAGGGAGGGCACACCCCAGGGAAGGAGGCCCCAGGGAGACTGAGGGGAGAGAGGAGGTGGCTGCAGGGCCCTCAGCCTCTGGTAGTAGCCAGAACCACAGGCTCCAAGGGGAGGTGAAAAGAGAAGAGGCTGGACCAGCCAGGACAAAGCAGCCTGGAGTGGGGCAAGCAGGGGCCAGATATTGGACAAGTCCTTCTGCCACGCTGAGCCTCAGTTTCCTCCTCTGGGAAATGGGAAGATCAGCACTATTTCACAGGCATGTTAGAGGGGAAATAAATAAAGCACCTGGCACAGACTGGTGGCCATATTGCATTTATTTGCAGGTATTTATAAACCACCTACTATGTGCACTCAGATGCCCCCAAAAAAGCCTTGGGGGCATACCATTTGGTGGAAGGAGAGGGGGCAGAGACAATCCCAGTACAGTGTGCTCAGGCTGAGATAGGATGAGGGCCTGCAGAGGGTGGGGCAGGCTCTCTGGCAGTGAACAAAAGTCCCTGAGCCAGGCTCTGGCCCCAGGAGCTGGTGAATCTGAACAACAAGCTCCCCCATGTTGGATGCCTCCCTTCTGGGGGCAGGGCTGTTGCAGCCCTCATAATGGTCCACACAACCAAGACGCCCTCAGGGAATCCCCTGGCTGGGTCAAGCTTAGCTACAGCCTCAGCCCTGGGCCTGGTGGCAGGGCTGTCCTGGTTCTTGGTCCCTCTGTTCTCAGCCACCCACAGCATGGGGTGGCACAGGAGACTGACACTGCACAAGGGTTGAAGGCGTATTGTCAGCCCACCACAGTGCCGTGCTCACCACTCCTAGGCTGGGGTCCCTCAGGGTCCCTGCAGGCCAGGGCCTGTGTCCCTTGCTTCCCCCGGCCCCATGCAGACCCAGGCACAGCACAGTGCAGTACCATGGACAGAGTAATTGCCAAGCCATCTACCTGCAAGGACGCGCAGCCAGGTCACCATGCAGGGTGTGGGAGTGGTGGAGGAAGGCTCAGGGGCTGGCTACCAGTGGCTGGGGCCTGAGCCTGGGAACCAGGTGCATGTGTGTCCATCCCGTGAGAGTGGGTGAGGCGGCGCCGAGGGCAGTTACTGACCGGTTCGCTGATAGGGGACATGTTTTATTTTGTTCAGTGAGTGGGCGAGTGTGGATGAACCCTGAGACCCTCGGTAGAGTCTCACTTCTAGGTCCTCCAGTCCAGCCACAGGCAATGTCCCCAGCAACTTGGGTTAGCTTAAGGTGCCTGAACAAAGCCACCTAATTTTCCCACACCATTCCCCAGGGACCATAGGCCCCCAAACCTAGTCAATCTCCCCTGTGGCCCCCATCTGCCCAGGCCTGGGCTGAGCACTTCTGGAAACTTGAGGCTTTCCCTCGCTGGGCCCAGGACTCTCTCCTGCGGACCCCCAACCCCAGGACGGCAGCCACTGCCTCTGCTAACTCAGCTCTCAGCACACCTGGCTGCTCCTCCATTGTGGCCTCCTGAGCCACCCACTCACTCACTGTGGGCAGGGGCTTCTTTCCCAGCAGAGGGGCAAGTCCGGGCGGCCTAGCCAGCCCCACACTCTGACCCCTCCTCAGCCATTGCATCAGTGGGAGTGGGCCCCAAAATCTTCAGAGAGAGAAACACTGCCTAAGAGCCCGAGGCTGAGCAGGTGGTGGGGCTCTTGGTTCCTCTTCCCAGCACAGTGTCTCTTTCCAGCACCTTGCTCCATCCCTGACAAGCCAGGCTCCAGACAAGCGCTGAGTCACTGCTCCTCAGAGCCTCAATGTCCCCATTCACACAATGGGGCTCCTTTTCCCAGAGCCTCCCTGCTTCCTAGGAAGGTTGTTCAAATAAATGAGATCACCCCCGGGGTGAGCCATCTTCAGGCCAGGGCTGGTTCTGCTGGTTATAGCCGGATGTGCGGAGGGGGCCTGGGGGATACAGTGCCACCTGCCT